GTATGTTTGGCTGTGAAGACTTTCTATTTTCCACAAAACATGACACTGTTTTCGTGCTACAATATTTCGGTCACTTGAGATTCACCGTGAACGTCTACAGATTACTTTAATTTATTCCATTCTTCGCATCACAGCATTATCTAACTACCCTCTCTTGAGAATAACTTACAGAAAAAAGCACTGTTGCAACGCACTTTGAAAAAATTACGCACTTTGAAAATTTTTTTCAACGTGCGTTAAAATTGGGACAAAATCAAGGCACTTTGATTTTTTTTTCAAAGTGCGTTAAATTTGGGACACACTCAACGCACTTTGAAAATATTTTTCAAAGTGCGTAATTTTTCAAAGTGCGTTGTACATAACAAAGCACACCATGACTTTAAAATATTATCGGATTTCAAAAAATTCCCCACATTTAAAACACGATTTTTCCTTCTATTCTTAGGCACATATATCATGTATATTTCAAACTCATTAGAATATTTTCAAAGTACATGTAAAATAAAACAGTTGTTTTACAACATGTTTATTTTTGCAATTTATACATGTAATTAGTCTCTTTTTAAAAAAATGCAAACCTTGGACGAGTTCATCGGTTGGATTTTGTAGGAATAAAGAACATTTTCAATTTTTATGCAATACAGTCAGCTAATGGTGAAAAAAGGACAAAAAATTGTTGAATGATTTAATTTACAGATAACACTTAAAGTCATATATGGCGTAATTTGATAAGTTTAGACTAATTAGAATTAAAAAAAAAAAAAAAAGATCTTTCGATTTGTTTTATTACATTATATAAAGATAGAACTTTCCTGTAAATTACACAATTTAAATGATTCGTGTTTCACAGATATTCAAGATTCAAACAACCGATTTATTTCCGACTCGGATGGATAAAAATATCAGACATAGTTTAAAGTCAATTTAACCTATAGAAACGTGGCAATATTTTAAGTTCAAAATCGGTGAAAAAAATTGTATTTGAAGGTAGACAGAAAATATCATCTTAATCTACACTTAATCTTGTTTATTTTTTTTTAAATCTCAGATACGCCATATATAGATAGCTTTAATCCCTGAGATGTACTTATGTCATACTTCTTCATGTATATGACCGATGTTCTTTTTCTAGAAATCTAGTATGTGTGCCAACAATATCTTATTTTTCTACGAAATACATTGACCTGAAACCATTGAACTTTAGAGATATTATTTTTAAACTTAGCTTCTTCAGAAAAATATCTTTCAAATATAAAAAAAAAAACTATGATACAATGAAATTCAATCTATGCTACACAATTTGTAATCTTTAGTCGTGAAAGGGGGATGGGACAGAAATAAGCTAAAGTCACACATATAAATTACATGTACTAAAAATTTGGAAAATACATGTATTAGTTACCAGAGCTTTAACACAGCAAATAATATTTGAATGAAAATTAAAGACAAGAAAACATGCAAGCGAGGAGAAGAAAATGAAATTTTATGTTCTAAATTAAGTTTATTTTTTGATTCAAGTTTTATAAATTTTGGACGGCTTTTAAATAAAATTCCAATGACCATTTGAATCAATTTCTTGGAACGTTGGAAGTATTGATTTATAGCTGAACAAGATAACATTTATTGCACCTTTACTACGAACAGACATTGGGGCTTATGTATGTTTACATATTTGCACAATACTTTACTTGGAATTCATTTGCCCTAGATTTTGACTGTGTTTCTTCGTAATTTATATTTATCTCTTTCTAATAATGTTAGAAAATATGGTGAAAAAGTATTGCTATTAAATCATACACTGTAATTTTTTAACCATATTTAATGAAAATGTTTCTTTATTTTGACGTATTTTTAAAAATATTAAGGTTTACTTAAACCCATTAGGAACACCCATTAATCCTTCAAAAAACATCAATTCCCGCATCTTATGATATAAAGCAAATAGAAATTGTGTTTCTGTTTGCTAAAATATGTATTGTGGTACGGCTTCATCAATGGCGTTTTTCACTTCATTTCTTTTTTGCAAATTTCAACAGTTTTTACTTAACAATTTTCCTATCTCATCATAAAATATATAGCCACCAAACTGATAAAAATTTAATCAATCACTTTCATCTTTTCAGTGCATTTAAACTTATGTTAAAGATATATATGCCGTATTAGTGTTTTATTGCTAAAGAAAAAAAAACAATGTGGTGTCTCATCAAGTTACATAAGTTATGTAATTTCTTCAATTCAGGACAATTCCACTCCATCACTTTTAAAAGTTATGAAATATTATTTTGTAAAAATTATTTTCTCTCCGAATCGGATATTAAACCGCCTCTTATTGAAATATTCATGAACACGTGGTCTCACATGCTCACAGCAAACAATGGTCCAATCTCGTGAATGAGCCGAAAAGCATGATGGTCTACTACGTTTTCACTACAAACACGTGGGTTAGAGAATTGTTCGATGCGATTTCAAATGACGACTGGAAAGCCAATTTACATTTTTTAAAAACCTGTTTAAGAAAAATAGGAAGAAAAGTTACTAATTGAGAATTCCCATGCTTACGTTAACAAACAAATGCAGTTTTTCTTGTTAGCATACAGTATGTTTCGAAGTTCTACACATTGTAAACATTGTCAATACGTGAGCAAACCTCAGAGTTAGTTCCTTTTTGTACCGAGGAATATATAGTCATATAGAAATTGTCTTTTCACTGTCAGTAGAGCACGGGGAAATTGTAAACAAACGGACCTGTACAATAGCGTGGGGAAAACTCTTATTTTTTCATTGTTCATTTGTATGCAAATGTTAGCATGGGATTTAAAGATGATAATGTACATAATGGATTAAGCGTGTAAATGCTTGGGAAATGCACCACGTCTTTCTGTGAGCAATTTAAAAAACTAGCCTGTTCGAAAAACACATGTAGTATTTATGTACTGAGTAGTTACCCATAAATGCATTAAATACAACTCATTGAGCTGATTGGTCGATTTGTCAGTCTTGTTGGTTCCTCGCTGAACAGACGTCACAAAAAATAGTTTTCTCGACCTGATGATTCTCGTGATGCTTTTCCCGCGCATATGCGCAGATCCAACATAAACGTCAGTCCTTTATAAATATGCATGAGAATATCGTGTTCTTTTCCCGACCAGTACTTTGTTAATACCGAATACTATTTCGTCGAATTTGCGAGAATGCTTCATTTTTTATAGCTTTTCATACTTCAGAAATTTTTGTTTGGTTTAGGATGTGCAAAAATAATGTTTAACACGGCATACATATCTTTAAGTATACATTGCCCCAGTATTGAACAGTGGTGTTTTAATAACTTTACGGGTTCGATCATAAAATGAAATGGACTGTATGAAAGTTAAGAAAAATTGGCAAAAATGAAAAACACAAAACGTTATAATTTTATCTACATGGAAATTAAATATCGCTGTATCATTTATTTTAATAGATGCATTTTAAAAGGAAGACATAAGGAGCAGTTTCCAAATTAAAGTTTTAAATATTTTTTGTATTTTTTTTTTCAAAATGGCAGCAATGATTCTCAGTCAACAGTCTCATTTTGACTCTGAAATCCTGTATGGTTAAAACTCTGACATCTTTCGAAAAGTCAGTTTCCTAGATAGATGGTTCTCATCTGAGTACATCGGTAATTTTGTAAATTTTCTATTTGCAGAGTTATTCAAAATTATCCATAGATCCATTTTGGGAGAAAAAAAACTGACGAACTGACTGCTGTAGATGTAATCAAATGGAATAGATGTTATTTTTAATGTTCATATCAAAATTGTATACCGTGAATTGTAGAATAAAATGCCGTTATAATTTTGTAAATATTGGATTAATATGCAGAAATATACATGCAGGCATTAAAAGTCGAAGCATTTTTGTTGAAACATCTTACGTGCCTCTGACGGTAGGAAATCCAGTTATTTGTGCCCGATTTTGACCTTTGATCGACACTCAGAGCCTTTGGGCAGTGAGGATTTTTATTGTGCCAACGCCTGGCATGACACGGGACCTCGGTTTTAAAGGTGTCATACGACGGACCCGCAATTTTCACTTCAAGTGCCAAGCGCATGGCGAAAGAACAGTTCTATCCATTTTTATACCCCCCGCTTGAAAAGTGGGAGGGTATACTGTAATCGGTATGTCCTTCCGTCCATCCGTCCGTCTGTTTCGCTTTTGGGTACTTATCTCTTATCTGCAATTTTTATCTAATTTTATTCCACTGAGTGAAATTTAATGAAACTTTCACAGAATCTTTATTACATATTGCCATTGTGCACCTTCTATTTTACTTGATTATGGAAGCCATAGGCTACCATACAAGCAGACGCCTTAAAAGCTTGTATAGTCCCTGTAATATATACATTATATATACCTTTTCTGTTTGAATTCACGCATATATAAATATGCTTTAGAGTCATCAGTTCTGTCTCTGTAATCAGGCTAGACATTTAATTATTACAAATTTCGAAGTTAAATTTAAGGACCAATATAGAAGAGATGAATATTGACACAGAGAAAAGGAATTCCGAATTAAAAAAAGAAAAGATGGAAACTTTACTTATCGAAAACGATTTAAAATCTAAGGAAATCGGGTGTTTGATGGAGACTGGGGTTCAGACAGAATGGAAGTATTTTAATATTGAGATAGAGAAAAATGACGCAGAAGTGCAAACTGAGAAAAATTTTAACGAAACTGAATATAGCGTAGCGAGGACACATGCTGAAGTGCAAACAGAGGAGATGAGTAGTGAAATTACCAAGGATTATACAAGTGGGGATACCAAAGAAAAGGAAATGCTTGGATTTTTTACAGAAAAGGCAGAAATGACATTTTTCCGAAAAGAAACAAGTTCTGATTTTGACGCGGGGACGTCTTCTCTCGAGAAAGACAGGAGAGGAATTATTTTACAATTGATGGAATAAATTCTGAAAATGTGATATTAGAACTTGAAACACTGCGGGAAGAAATCGGTATTGAAGACATGGAAATAGCTGATTCTGAACAATACATAGAAACGATTGATTTTAAACTTAAAATTGGAAAGATTGATCCTGAACTAGATACAGAAAAAGTTGATTCTGAACAAGACACAGAGAAGAGTGATATTGAACAAGAAGTAGAGAAGATTGATCCTGAAAAAGAGAAGATTTATTCTGAACAAAAAACAGAAAATAGTGATTCTGAACAAGACACAGAGAAGATTGATCCTGAACAAGACACAGAGAAGATTGATCCTGAACAAGACAGAGAAAAAATGTATTCAGAACAAGACACTGTTACAGTAGAAGTTGATCCTGAACAAGACACAGAGAAGATTGATCCTGAACAGGACACAGAGAAGATTGATCCTGAACAGGACACAGAGAAGATTGATCCTGAACAGGACACAGAGAAGATTGATCCTGAACAGGACACAGAGAAGATTGATCCTGAACAGGACACAGAGAAGATTGATCCTGAACAGGACACAGAGAAGATTGATTCTGAACAGGACACAGAGAAGATTGATTCTGAACAGGACACAGAGAAGATTGATCCTGAACAGGACACAGAGAAGATTGATTCTGAACAAGACGCAGAGAAGATTGATTCTGAACAAGACACCGAGAATATTGCTTCTGAACAAGACACAGAAAAGATTGATTCTGAACTAGACACAGAGAATATTGCTTCTGAACAAGACAAAGAGAAGATTGATTCTGAAAAAGACACAGAGAAGATTGATTCTGAACAAGACACAGAGAAGATTGATTCTGAACAAGACACAGAGAAGATTGATTCTGAACAAGACGCAGAGAAGATTGATTCTGAACAAGATGCAGAGAATATTGATTATGAGCAAGACACCGAGAATATTGCTTCTGAACAAGACACAGAGAAGATTGATTCTGAACAGGACACAGAGAAGATTGATCCTGAACAGGACACAGAGAAGATTGATCCTGAACTGGACACAGAGAAGATTGATTCTGAACAAGACACAGAGAAGATTGATCCTGAATAAGAAACAGAAAAGATTGATTCTGAACAAGACACAGAAAAAATTGATTCTGTATATGAAACAGAAAATAGTGATTCTAGATCTGATAAAAACACAGAGAAGATTGATCCTGAACTGGACACAGAGAAGATTGATTCTGAAAAAGACACAGAAAAGATTGATTATGAACAAGAAACAGAAAAAGTTGATTCTGAACAAGAAACAGAAAATAGTGGTTCTGATAAAGACACAGAGAAAATTGATTCTGAAGGGATGATTGATTCTGAACCAAACCCAGAAAAGATAGATCCTGAACAAGACACAGAAAAAATTGATTCTGAACAAGACAAGGAAAAGATTGATTCTGAACGAGACACAGAGAAGATTGATCCTGAACAAGAAACAGAAAAGATTGATTCTGAACAAGACACGGAAAAGATTGATTCGGAAGCAAACAAAAGCACGATAGGTTCAACAAATATTTTAAAGAAATCTTCGTTGACAAGTGAAGCTGAGTACTTAAAGTTCAAGCGAATGTTAGATAAAACGGTTGTGATTGATGCTGGATCGCTTACTGTCAAGGCAGGGTTTGCTGGTGATGAAAATCCTAAAGCTTACTTTCCCAATATTGTCGGTGAACCTAAAAAGAACGTATGTATTATCATAGTTTTGTTACAGATTTATTTTACTTAAAAAAAAATAATTGTTTAAAATTCCGATATATCTAGAATCATATCATTTAAATTACAGAGAAATCGTAAATGGGTTAGTTTTGGTCATCAATTCTACATTTCCTTTTAAGTGAATCTTACAATGAGATTAACTTAGGTTTGAAATTTTTTATTTCCTCTTCTTTTCCCAAATCCACTTAATTATACTGCATAATAATATATACGATAGTTTAAATTTTATCTTTTTCTATATATCGATTAACTGTTCATTGAGTTTGTTAAATTGAATATCTTTCAGATTGTTATTTCCCCTCACCATTCATCACTAAATAACATTTTACTGATAGCCAAGGAGGCAGAGTGCAAAGCACCAATACTTAAAGTCCGATATCCTGTTGTTGATGGCCAAATTAATGGGTGGAATGATATGTCAAAAATCTTATGCCATGCAATATGGAAAGTAATCGATGTTGATGATATCTCCCAATACGTTATTATAATGACTACTGAAACAGAAGATGGACAACAACTGATGCGACTGCTCTTTCAACTATTTAAACCACGTGCAGTTCTTCTCGTAAACCAAGCTATTTTATCTCTGTTTTCTTCCGGTCGATCGACAGGAGTGGTTATCAATTTTGGGGAAGGCACAAGCCAAGTCGTTCCAATCTTCGAAAGATGCATTATTCAACACGCTGTCAGAAACTGGGGTTGCAATGGCCTAGAGCTCACGAAAAAACTCATGGAGATGTTGGACATTTCCGAAACACCAGCTGGAATAATACGTGCCAGAGAGATCAAAGAAAAGTTTTGCTACGTTGCCAGTGAACCGCATGACGAGAAAGAAAATATTAAATACGAACTGTGTAAACTAGCTGATGGTACTCAAATAGGGATCGGTCCCGCGAAATTCCAATGCCCGGAAGTACTATTCGAAGATTGTCGAATACACGAAATTGTTGTTAGAGTAATCGAAAGCTGCGATAAGGATATCCAGGGAGAATTATTTAAAAACATCGTTCTTGCTTGTGGATCTACAATGCTTCCGGGATTTCCCGAGCGCTTAGAAAAAGAAATTAGAGCCTTGGTTGGGGAAACAAAAGAGTTCCATATCATTCTCCTGATAGAAATCTCTCTGCGTGGAGAGGAGGATCAAAGATTTCTTCAACGGACTTATTTTTATGCGACTTATATTCTAAAGATGAATTTGATAACAAGGGACCTATGCATTACTTTTAAGTTTATGTCTGTTTTACTGTATATTTTCAATGATAAAATAAGTATGTACTATTGCCCTATTACTTTACTCATGCATTTTAAATACCGGTATCTCAATTCAGCATTTTTATTCTTGAAACATAAAGAAAGGATCAGACTAACATTCATGCATTTCAACTGGTACATGCTTATGATGCATGTAAATGATATGCGAAATGTCCATATTTTTTTTTTTTTACAATAACTAAAGGCAAAGTAATGAAAACCTTTATCCTAATTACCGGTAATTATGAATATGAATTTGTATTGGCTGATATACATGGCACATTGCTTTGTCGGGTGAAATTGTCACTCAACAATAAAGAATTATTTACTTTTACAATTAACACAGGAAATGAAATTTTCAAATTACTCAATTAATATGAATAGTTATCAAAGCATAACAATTATATACTTGTATATTATTATTAAAAATGGTAGATGTTGATTCCAAGAGTGCAAATAAATTTTACATCCTAAATGTAATCTATTAAGTCTTCATACATCCTTGAACAGGTGATTTCTTCAGTGTGATATGAAGTTTCTTTCAGATGAAAAAAATAAGATGTCATATTTCATGATGCAACTGTATTCATTATGCCAGCGTACATCAAGACTGACCATGCAAGAGTCCTATACATGACAATATGGTTTTCAGTGATTCATTTTTTGTGAGCTTTCGATTGTGCCAAACACGAAAGTGTCAGTGAAAGAAGCAAGGACGCTTGCTAAAGTTACAAGAATTCGAGAATTTGATCACGTATGTGTCAACTTGATTACCCATCCGTAATTAAGACTCCAGTCGCATTCACAACACATTTGCATGGATGAACCGACGTGTCACAACAAACGTGCACCAATTTTTTTCTTCAAAAGCTCCACGAAATGTTTTATTTCCCCGGGTGATTTCAGTCATTAAAATGTTATATTTTAAAATTAGGTAACAATTATGCGTCAATCAACAACATGAATAATGTGGTTTAAAATATCAACATTTTGAAAATTCTGCGTTGAAACAAAAAGTCTTGTTAGAGATGCAGTATATCGTTGAGTCCAATGTTTTTGTTCGACCATGCTTGTTTTCATGCTTGTTTGTTGTATACTGGTGATCATTAAATAGCATGTATGGCAGATCCAAAGGGTATGCTTACTCTTCCATGTTTTCTGAAATCTTTGGGGAAAATTACGTCTTAATCAACAGTATACGCAACGTTTCTGTTGAGTTGATGCACTGTTTTTAAAATGAAGAATTCTTAATAAAAGTCTAATAATGTTGTATTGTATATTTGTATGTGTGAGATTCTGCCAAAATAAAAATAAAATTAAAAAAAGTCAAAGTTTGCTTGAGAGCAATCAGCTCTTTTTTAGTTTTTTAAGTATTAGGTAGTATCATTTCAACGCCGATGCGTTAAAAAAAAGTTTTATTTTCAAGCAGATTTTATTTTCAAAAATAAAATATGTCAAAAAGAAAAATCTATGTTTGATAACATAGGTTGAATCCAAGTTCTTAAATTGATTTTTTTTAAAAAAAAAAGCATTAAAGAGAATTATATAAATAGTGTTTAAATACTAGATTTCACATCCCAAAGAATTTTCCATGTTATACTAAATATATCATTTATTCTTCAAAAAGTCTTATCAGCCCCCAACCGCTGAAACTGGGGTGGGGGCATAGGTTTCCTCCTCCTATGTACATCTCCTGTCTGTTCCTCCGTCTGTCTATCTGTCACTCAGTCTCACTTTTCCCTCACTTTTTTTATTTCTAAACGCTTGCATTTATATAGACATTGAATTGATTTTTGGTATGCGAATGTATATATATAGGATGAGGTAAAGGTTTAGATGAATGCATTTCGTTGCGTTTAGAAATTTAATCTAATTAAAATTAGATGTTCCGTATTCCCCACGTTTGATCGAGATTTATAGCGGATGCGGGACATCTAATTTAATTATATAATTAGACTGGTTTTTAAATAAAATGAGAAACTTATATCACTGCCTCTGTTTTGGACATTATACTTGGTATTTATTTTTTTATGAATACTATGAATGCTTTTAATGGGACAGTAAAAGAAAAAATAAAGAATGTGAAACAATTTTTTCCAGAGAATATTGAAAATATATACAACATACAACATTATGTGATTTAGATAAATTATGTGACATATATTGAATGTTCCAAATAATCATTCTTACATCCTAAAGGTCAGCTAGAAGCCTTACGTTATAAAGATTCGAGAGTGGATAGTGTATATATGCATGTACATTCCAACAAGCACTGGGTCAGTGTTGGACTTCGCATATATATCAATTTTACCGAAGTTTTCAGCATGTTCAGGTAAATAAAAAAAAATATGTAATACGCATTATAATTATTATACATTAGGTATTACGTATTTATTTTTTTATTTACTGAAAATTTATCAAAAATTGATATGTGCACGAACTCCTGTGGTACAAGGGTTCTTTACATGTACGTTTTCTTTATATAATTCAATCGGGCTCGGTGTGCATGAAATTCACAAGCTAACAAAAATCCAAACTCATCATGCCGAGAGACGTTGGTGCTTATTTATCAGAACAACAGAGGAAAACATCGGGAGAAGTAGCATCAGAATGGGGTCAAATCGAAGAACTTTACAACAAAAAGTTTGTATGATCCACGTATATGTCCAGGAAACATGATTACATTTAGAAAAATAAAAGAGGGGGGGTGCTTACCGGTATTGTAGTTGTTTACTGTTTTTAAATAAGATATGGAAACAAAAGGAAAACACAGTATAGAATGTGTTTTAAAAATCACAATTTTTGTGTTTGTACATCATACATTTTTATCAATATAGATTATGGCATCAACTCACATTGAAGCTTCTCAATTTTGTGAAGAATCCCATATTTTCAAAGGGTGATGGTCTCATCAAGGTAAATGATTTAAGTTATGTGTATATGAAAACTGAATTTGTAAAAAATAAGGTCTTTTTATATTATCAATCAAACCTTATTTCAATGGATGTGAAAAAACACTACAGAATTGTCTGAAATAATCAAATGCAGGTTTGTCCATGTTGTCGCATGGAGGATCTATTTATTAGCAGTATTATAATAACGAAGAAATCCTTCTATTTCTTGTTCAGTCGTCTCAAAAGACACATTCACACAATATTGGTTTAACAGTGTTGAACCAAGCATAGAAGTTGACAGTTTTATCCATATAACAACATAAACAAAGTTCTACCATTGAGCTCCAGGGGTGTTGTTAGATCATGATCACTAGCACCTGTACCGTACCATTATAAATAGAGAATAGAGATAAGATATTTATATTAGCTTTAAACTTGTTAATTTTATAAAATGAATGCCGTTTTTGATCTTTTTATCTCCCTTTTTTTGTAGATGTATGAAAACTTCATTGCAGATTTTGAACACAGGTGAGTAAATGACATTTTAACTATAAATGTACATAAAGGTCAGTCTTCAAAATATACTAAGAAAATATGTTTTCATTGTACATGAAGATTTAATGCTTTTATCATGTGTATAGAGAATTTAAAGAACACTGATTATCCTGAAGTATTTTTAATCAAGCTAATTTTTGACATCAGGGCTGGGGGCCATAAAACTAAGCCAAGCTCACTTTTGATCTCAGTCACACTTTTCCACTCTTAAGTTGGTAAAAGTGAAACTGAGATGAAAAGTGAAACTGAGATGAAAAGTGAGCTGTCTAAGTTTTATGGCCTCCAGGCCAGATAACAATGAGATTAGAATGTATAGTTTAATGACACAGTCAATTCTTTTTTATTTACAGAATCAACCTGCTGGCTTTGGCTGAAATAACTGTATATATAGTCAAACAGATGACAGGTATGCTTGTCAATTTTGTGGTGCACCCTTAAAAAGCTTTAATTCAAAATAACATCCCCACCAACAATTACCGGTATTTTGTCATGATATTTATTCATTGAATCTTCTGTAAATACAAAATGTACATTGATATGCAAGATACCCATGAAATTGTGTCCCTTTTAAACCAGTAAAAAATTTCCTTGATGGTGCACACTGACCAGGGCTCTCACACCCATTTTTGGTACTTGGGCCGGGGCCAATGGAATTGGGAAAAAGCGATGTTTTTAGAAAAATTGGGAAAATTTTACCAGTCATAAAGTTAACCACTTAAAACAAGAAAAATCAAATAAACATAGTCTAAGAGCAATTATAGAAACTGAAATGAATCATCATCATTGTCTTCGTTAGAAATTTTTTTCTACAGTACTACAGGGATCAAATTTAACTTTTTAGAGCAATAGCAAATTTCAGCTAGCGGATTTATTTTTCTTAGCAAATATTGTAATATTGAACTTTCACTAGCATTTTTTTTCTCAAAGTAATTAACGTAAGAATTATTTAAATGATGAAAAAAAAAAACCTCTTGTAAGCATATGAAATATGAACATTTTTGGGAAATCACATAACACTTTTCCTCTCGTTGATTAAGTGATCGTAAATAGTCGGGATATCTACATGTATTTAGTAACATAAACAAAAGAATGGAGGAAATTCGGGTTTGAAAAAAAAAGATCGTTTTTGGAAGTAAAGAAGTCAGATTGTGCTGCAAAATGGATAATATTTACGAACTGTAGAAGTGTGTTACCTAATTTTTGTTCATTGTTTGGGAATTTAATAGCAAAAGAGTGAGTAAAAATACCTGTAGTGCTTCTCATGGGTAATCTTAATTTTTTAAAAACCTTTTTTTTTGAACTCGCAAAAGGTGGCGACCACAGGTCACGTTTAACTAGCAATTTCTGTTTTTAATTCACATTTATTGAGTATTTTCTGTTTATTGCGAGCCCTGACATGAAAGTACTTCATATTATGCGACATGTTGTGAATAAACAAGAGATTTATCAGTTACTACAGGCGACTTTCGCTTTCATACTAATCTGGTTCCAGCATATATACGAACTACCAGTTTACAACACGAAAGTGTTCCCTTCACATCTTCCTGGGCAGTGCTTTTGCGACTGTTAAAGATATGCTTTTTATCTTATTTTTTTTACAGTATTAAATGTCAAGCAATCATACATTGGGAATTTTTACACTCAAATTTGGGAAAAAAGATGCCTTTCACACGTTGGGAACGGGGCCGAATATCGGCCCCAATTAAAGAGAATCGAGAGCCCTGCTGACCAAAACAAACTATAATTTGACATTCAGCTGTATCAGTTGTGTATTGATAATTTCTATAATCGCAGAGAACATTTGAAATAAGATGTATAATAATCACAGAATTTTTTTTTGATACTGTTACTGTATATATGTCTTTAGATTTCAATTTTTTTAGAAAAATAAAATGATGAGACACAGTATGATATACATGTTTTACCCATTTGAAAACATTTTTTTTCTTCAATATTTAGATGTTGAAGCAGCTGTGTCATTTATTGAGAAAATGAAAGAGAAAGTAAAAGCCAGCGAGGAAGCTAAGATACTGTGTCTAACAACAATGGGAACAATAAGACTGAGGACACGCGACTTACCGGCA